CTCCAATAGTGTTTTTTTAAGCAGAAGCAATTGCAAACACTCCCTAAGATTGGGACAAGAGAAGGTGATACGTTATTAAGAAAAGTGGGTTTGTTTAGTTGATATTATATTGATAAAGTAAGAATAAAGTAAAAATGATTTAGAAACACACAAACTTAACTTTACCAAATTTGGTATGACACAATCTTACTGGGATTTCTCGAAAAGGTAAAATGAGACAATCTTAGCGGATGAGAGGGAGTAGTAAATTAGTAATAACAATCATAATAATAATTTTAATAACAAAAGTGATAAATCATGTTAGAACTTTTCTGATCTGATTTGAATGTAACAAAAGTGATAAATCATGTTAGAACTTTTCTGATCTGATTTGAATGTTCCTAATCTGATCTGGTTTGAGCTGAATGTTTCTGATCTGGTTTGATCTAAATCTTTCTGATCTAATCTCAATTTTTCTAATCTTGTTTTATCTAAATAAAATAGTGGAAATTACCTGTTTAAACCACTTTTGTGTGCTGCATTTCATTTATAGCTCTACTCTTTTTACTTTTCATATCTAAACTTTCAGTTTTTCACTTTTATTCTTTTAATTTCAAGAATAGACTATATCTATCCGGACAATTCTTGGTGTACACAAGATGTACACAAAATGTGTACATTGTCTGTGTATACAGACAATTTGACATTAAGTTCTGCCTCTTTTCAAACGAATTGTATAACTTGATTAGGAACATTCAAATCAGATCAGAAAAGTTCTAACATGATTTATCACTTTTGTTACATTCAAATCAGATCAGAAAAGTTCAGACAATTAGGGGGTTTTGTGTATAATTTGTGTATAACTTGCGTACACTAATGATTTTCCATATCTATCCAGCCATTCCCGTCGCTGCTCCTCGCCCCCCTTCTCTCCTCCATCATTCACTCGCTTCAAGTGAAGCCGCTTCCCCGAAAACCTTCGATTGCAACCTTTCTACCCGTTTCTGCCTCTATTTCGCACTTGAATTGCCTCCTCGCCATCCGTTTCAGATCGGACGCATTGTCAGAATCGCCAGCATAGAAGGCGGCGTTGGCGGTGATTTAATTGATTTCGCCGAGTTCAGAAGAAATTCTCTGTTAGTGATTCCAAAGCTTTTTATGACTTTTAGGATCTGAGAGGCCGGGCAGGGGATCCATTGTATGTTCTATCATGCTGTTGGTTAGCTGCGGTTGCTGCTAGTCTGCTGAAATCCGAGGAGATATTAGTAGGTGCTGCGAGGGTTCGTTTATCAAACGATATTGACTACTGAGTTTGAGGAGCAACCTTTTATGGCTATGATAAGCGAAGCCAATGAGAAACGGGTAATAGCAAGGACTCTTATGCAAGCATACCTATGGAAATCAAATTTAAGAAAGCAGTTGGTATTTTAAAATTTTCATTTAATTTTATGGAAGACATTCGTAAATGCTTTAGAATATGCGGATCTCTATCTATGGAGCTTCATGTACTAAAATTGTAGATACTAAGTTGTCATCCTGATCTTAATTGAAGAAAACTCAAGCTATTAAGCTATCTAATCAGACTTGTTTTCCTAGAGTTAGAACAGAAACTTGTGGTAAGGGAGTAAGAATCTTTCTGGTTCTGGAGCCTGTAGTCCTGTGCCATGAGAATATGAGATGATGCAAGGGATAAGTTGAAATCTCATTCTATCTTTCCTTATCAATTCATCAGGTTGTGTTTCTCTATTACTTCAACTAAATAAATCCCAAAATATATATTTGTGTGGCAGGAAAATTAACTTGTGTAGCAGCAAGGTTTTTTGAATTTCCAAATAAGCATGCAATCATTAAGATACTTTGAATCAGTTTGTGTTATTATGAAGTTTTTGTAGTTCAATTGCTTGATTTCGTGTTATACTATGATATTCTGAAAAACTAATTTATAGTATAAGTACTTGATCAGCATCATATGCTTCGCAGAATGAGAATTAGTTGAGAATTACTAGAGAAATTTAAAGTTAAGATCAAAATGCTCAATCGTGTAAGGAACTCGTAGAGGAATCCAGTTAGAATATGGAAATGGTTTGAAGATTTCAGAGGAAGAACATTTCATCTATGCAGAAATGACAAAAGAAAATATATTTGGGAGCTTTTGCAAATGAAGAATCATGTAGCTACTCTCAGTCATTCAGGTATTCATACAAAAAAATCACTTTGTTCCTTAAGTTCTTTTCAAAAGCCTTCTATTTATGTTGAGCAATAGTTATTATATACTCCGTAGTTATTATGTAGCTGAGTTACATAATTATAGATTACAAAGTAAACATAGGGTGTTTGAAGATTTTGTTAATCTTAATTGGAGAACCACGTATATTGAATGATTCTTCGTGAGATAACCCTTTGTGGTTGAAAGATTTGTTTCTGTTGATTTATCAAGTTATGTTAAAGGATTAGGATTTTGAAGCCTATGCTAACTGCATTTTCGATGTAATGTATTTGAAGTTTCTGCAACTTTAACGATAGTTGTGATTGTTTCAGGTTGTGATTTGTTACGTGGCAACATTTGCTATTGTGACTGAGATGGAAGACCTTGATCCAGTTCAACTGTTCAAGTGAAACATTTAAAAGAACTTGCTACTCAACATTCTCTTAATTGGTTATTTCTTACTAATGTATACCATGAACAATAATTGCTGATTGTACACACAAACACTCCATCTATGCTCACTTCGTATAGCCAGGACATGTTAAATTACAATAACATTGAAATAATAGATTGAATTATAGGTTTGTTGTGATATTCTTATATGTTATTTTTTGTTTCTTTTTGTTGCATTGTGTGTGTTGCTTTTTGTTGTATCGTGTTGCTTTTTGTTGCATCGTGATGCTTTTTGTTGCATCATGTTGTTTTTTGTTACATTGTGTTGCTTTTATTTTCCATGGTTTATATGTGTTTCTATTAATCTTTGCTATTCTTTTTGAATAAAAATAATCACACACACATATGTGATCATGTATCTTAATAAATATGAATTTTTGAGTATAAACAACAAGAAACAACAAGAAACATCCCTAAAAAACAAGAAACATGGAGAGACAATAAAAAAAAAATATCAAATTTATCAACAAAAATAAACAGACTGAGAAACTATGTAAAACAAAAAGTAACATTGAAAGGATAATACTAATAATAATGATTAAAATTTAAAGCAATTTTAAAAAATGATAAATTATAAAAATTCAATATTCTCTATCTTTCAATTTTATTTAATCTATATTTTCTTTACTTTTTTTATTTCCATATTGTACACGCTTCTTAGTTTCTTTAATTTTACGATTTTTAACAATTTAATAACAGTACAATCAAAAAAACAATTTAATAACAGTATTCTCTTTTTTATTTTAGGAATCTAATTTCAATTTTTGATTATTTCTCTCCTTTTTTTACGTTTTTTTTGTTATACTTTTTTATTATTACTTTATTTTTTACTATTTTAAAATTTTCGTTTAATTTTTTTATTATATTTTTGACTGTTTTCATTTTTATACTCCATATAAATTATATTAACTACTGAATAATGGATATTATAAAATTCGTATATTGTACTTCTTTACTATTTTCCACATATTCAATTATGTTTACATTTTACAGTTTTATTTTTTATCTTTCTATTTTTATAAATTTTAAATATGTTTTGTCTCCCCTTTCTGTTTTCTTTTTTAAATTCAATTAATTTTTTTTATTTTTATAACTCTTCAATTTCGCATTTTTAATACAGTTTTTGTATATCTTTTGTTTGTAACTTTGAGATTTTATTCATTTTCAAATTTAATTTATTTAATTAAAATTATGTTCTTACAAGTATTATCACATGTTTTAGTGTTTAATGCATTTTCACATTTTTTTCGAGTACATTTTATTTATGAACATATATTGAGAACAATACACGTGCTTGATAATTATTGTCAAACTATTTTATTTTAATCTATACATGTGCTTGAGAACTCTATGTATTTTGTTTATAATTTTTAAGATCTTAGATTATTTCGATCTATATATTTTTCCTTTTGTAAATACATTATTTTTGAATTTTTTATCTTCTACTTTACTTGTTTTCTAAATTGAACAAAATTGATGACCTGGATTTCATGTAGATTCCCATAATATGAGATTCCCGTAGTATGAGTCACGGACTGACGGAAGTATTAGTAGATTCCCGTAATACTTCCTATGGGCTATTACTGAAAAGCAAGATCCGTGTAGTCTCTTTTTGAAAGTTATTTTAGAAGGTGACAAAAGTGATATAATAATCCGTTTTTGGTCTAATTGTGATAAACTCCCAAATCCCAATAAAATAAGAATAAGCAGAGAACAACTTCTCATGGGACAACTTGAACGATGGAAGGAAAAAAACGATGTAGGTTGCGAACAGTGCTCATAGCGCAGATAAAAAAGCTCACTATTTATGTGAACCCGTGCTCATAGCGCAGATAAAAAAGCTTACTATTTATTCACATATACCGTATATAAGAGAAAACTTCATGTCAGGCCGGCCTGACGGGCTGCCCCGTCCGGCCGAGCCCGTTTGGGCACCTTCCCGGTGGAATTTTTTGATGAAATTGTTTGAGCATGTTCCTCATCAAGTCTAGTTTGTCCATACCAAATTTCAGCTCAAAATTCCATCGGGAAGGTCGTCAAAAAATTTTGGCAAGTTAACTGGTCCGGAATATGTATTTTCCGGACCAGTTAACTTGCAAAAATCATTTGACGACCTTCCCGATCGAATTTTGAGCAAAAATTTGGTATGGACAAACTAGACTTGATGACGAACATGCTCAAAAAATTTCATCAAAAAATTCCACCGGGAAGGTGCCCAAACGGGCTCGGCCGGACGGGGCAGCCCGTCAGGCCGGCCTGACATGAAGAGCAACTCCCGTATATAAATACACACACACAACACATAGTATACAGTACACATTCTGCCAAACAGCAATGCAACAGAGCAAACCAGAAGACAGTGTAAAGACTTAAGAACTGAGCGGACAGAATATAACAAATAATGGAATATTGAGGTTGAAGATACAATGGCCACTGATTAAGACATCAGTCATCAGACAATCATTCGAACCAGCCACCCATAAATGGGACAAGAAACATAAGTAACGTTTAAAACATAAATAGCCTTCCAGGGAGGAGGTATTATTAGATAAATATATAAAACAGGAGGATAAATACGCCCTCCAACAAAAGCAACTCCCACATTCCACAGCATGTGTGGTGCGGTGCATCCACATATCAAACCAACCCTTGGCAGCTTTATGTATAACTTATTAGCACAATGGAGGGAGTCATTCCTTGCCATCAGCAGCACGGAGTGATCCGAGCTGCACCGGAGCTTGGGTTCCCACCACCTTGGAAGACCCGTACCTGGAAATATCTGCGCCGTGCGCCTTCTCCTTCTCAATTTGGTCCTTTATCCAAAAGTAAGTAATTCTCAACCCATCCTGCAAAGACAAAGATGACCACACCCGCCTTTTATATTTAGCAGAGAGAAAAATAAATACAATGATTTAGTCTCTGTACACAATAGGTCGCCGTAAGTGTGCACACCTTCAATCTCATTGTTGGGGCCCAACCAAGTTTTTCTTTAATGAGAGTATTGTCAGAGTTACGGCCACGGACACCTTCTGGTCCAGGAATGTGGTGAATGGGAAGCTTCTTGTCCTCAAAGCTAAGAACCATCTCGGCCATTTCATTCATGCTAACCATTTCATCACTTCCAATGTTAACAGGCTCCCTAAACTCTGACTTTGTTAACCTAATAGTAGATAAAACACCATTTGGAAGTAAGCAAAATAAACGATTACACAATCATCAAACCTAGGGGGTAATTAAAATACTAACACACGGTACAGGTATCATTATACTCACCTTAGTACACCTTCAACACACTCATCAATGAAAGTGAATGAACGAGTTTGAAGTCCATCTCCCCACATTTCAAATCTGTCGGTGGAAGTTAACGCTTTTCTACAGAAAGCAGCAGGAGCTTTTTCCCTTCCACCTAAGAAAAACCAAGCAACCAATGCAGTGAGTTGAAAAGCAACTAAGAACTAATTATTTGATCACTAATCCAAATTCATGCAAAATTGATTACCTTTCCACGTTCCAAATGGACCATAAATGTTGTGGAACCTTCCGATACGACATTCAATTCCAAAATCTTTGTTGTAGTGCTTGCATAATTCTTCAGTTGCGAGTTTCTCTAATCCATAGGCATCTTGAGGCTTAATTAGAGAAAATAAAAATTGAACCGTGACCTTAGTTTTGGCCCATTCCGGTAACAAAAAAGAAAAAGAAAGATAAGAAAAAATATCATTTCAAAAAAAGACAAACCTCAGCGGGCCAAGCATCAGATTCCTTCAAACTCACATTAGTCTCTAGTTGTTTGAATTCTGGATAAATGCATGCACTAGATGCATAGAAGAACCTGAAATATTTTAAAAGTATTAGCGCCAACGACATACGTATGGAAGTCCATTAGAAGAAAAAGATAATACTCCGGTGCTCCCTGACTCAAAAAAAAGGAATCTAAGTTTGGTCAAGTGACAGTTTTTCTATTTTGCCAATGTGCAACTTTAAAAAGTCATGGTATCCTACCTACCCCTCTGTCCTGCAAAAAACATCATTACATTACTTATTCCTCAAATGGAACTATGCCAATCCCAAAATACACTCAATACTTAATTTTTCTTTGCTTTACTAATGAACTTATAAAATTAAAATGTCATATTTGAACTTGTCTCTCCATCACATCAACGACTTCCGCTGTACTAATTCACTTTTATCAAATCAACTCACAATTCAATATCTTACTGAGATTGATGCAGTATATTTAATAGCTTACTCAATAGTTTATCCAAATTTAATATATTTAACTTGATTAAACTCTTTTGTCAGATCGAAGGACCTTTAGATAGAACGCTCTTTTGGGGATAAGCAGTAGTAATAATAAAGATTAAATTGAAATGAAAAATAATGGTGCTTGACCTTTTGATTCCGTTAATTCTGGAAGCCTCCATCATATTGAAGCTTATCATTGTGTTATTGTACATAATAACAGAGTGATTAGACTGAATGAACCCCATTCCTCCCATATCAGCAGCAAGATTGAAGACATGGTCAACTCCTTTGGTGACCTTTAGACAGTTGTCCATAACCCTCAGGTCAACAAGATGGAACTCATGACAGAACATGTCCTCAGTCATGTGCTCATTCTTCTTCCAGTCGGAAGCAATAACGTAGTGGCCCTCGCTCTTCAGCCGGCGGGCAATGTGAGAAGCAATAAATCCTCCAGCACCAGTAATAGAAATACGGAGCTTCTCAGTTGGCCAGTAAGGCTCCCTCTCAAGGTTCTCATAGGTGTATGCACCATAACCAGTTCCCCCTGAGCTTCCCATCCTGAAGTTATACATACCTCAATAATTCAGTAATGTTGCCTATATCTTGTACTGATCCAGGAAAAGAAAACCAATATTTCAATGACAAATACTAGGAGAGTCGCAAGTCATGGCGAATATATGAATATAAACACTTGAGACTGACATGAAGCATAAAACCTTTAGCTTCACAGAGATTTCCAATGTGATTTCTTAACTCGATCAGCTCCAACACCAAAGCTAAAAAAGTTTCTAACTTTGGACCACCACGGTCAGATGAAAGCGTTGTATATTACAAAATAGGCAATTAAATGATACCAGTTACGCTTCATGATCCAATCGTATTAAAGAGAGGAGACGTGTAGTGAAAACTACATCTATGACTTTCCTTCTTTTCTTCTAGTTCCCTCAGAGGATGCAGCCAAATTAAAGAAACAGCCCCTAAAGGAATGCTAAACTAATACAAATTGAGCCTAAAGTAAAAACCAATAAGGGAATCAATCAAAGCAATGTTCTTAGAATCTAAACACATTGTTTTCACGACATTGTGATTTTAATCCTAGATTGTTTCCAGAAATATGGATTTGCACAATACTAAATATCTTTGAGATTCGAGGCGTAGGGTTTAGAGATCTAACAGAAAAGAATGTCGGAAACAGAATTTTGGTCCTTTGCCTCATGCAATTTGTGCATATATGCTATGCATATACATTACTCACTCCGCCCCTTATAACTTTAGTCAACTCTACTTTTTCATTGTCCCGAATACTTAGCCGTTCTCGTGTTTAAGTATTTAATTATGGTTCTTATTAATTCTATCTCATTTGCACAAACCCCAATAACAAAGTTTTTGCTTTATTATTCCAAGTACTGGTCAAACTTGGCTAAGTAATAAGGAATGAAGTATTCCTTATTTCTTAAATTTAAAGAGTGGGGTTAATAATGTATCCATTTAGTAGTTTAAATGTGAATAATGTTTTTCTGTTTTGAGATATTGCATAACTACATTTTTACTCAAACAGTGACTATACATTCAAAAATGCATTGGAAAACGAAGAGAGATCCAATTTGATATGCAAAGATGTGAATTTGCCAAATCCCTCTATAGATCCTGAGGCCAAAATGTGCAGTCAAATAGTGGGACCCAGACCCGGAATTCCCCAAAAATTAAGCACAAAGGCAGCAGGTAAACTCAATCTTAGGACAGAACTTCAATATCAAACCGAAGCATTCAAATTTCAATTATCACTAACAACATCATGCCATCGAGCATATACAGCACATACTAGTGACACTACAAACCCTTACCTCATGCCTAACTAGTATTGTATATTCTTAATTCATGCTTCGTTAGTATATTCAGACATGCAGAAAGAGCGTTTTTCAGCTTAACGACATACAGGACCTACCATTGACGTCATGTTCTGAGCACACATAAGGGCACCATTTCAGACAACTTCCAGCCAAATTAACTACTTTGAACTTTTGAAGCATAACAACAAACAAGATGTGTGGACATTTCATAACTGTACAAACCCTAAAACCCCGTACATCCCATTTATCAAAAAAATAACTCGGATGATACTGAACCTACTAAAATCACATATATCCCATCAGCCTGTCCAGATTGAAGATTGATATATACGCAACATATTTGTCCAGCGGATCTATCTTTTCTATGGTCGTGTATTATATATCTCCTGCTACAACAGGCATCCCTCCTAACGAGAAGCATTCAACCAAAACCTTAACTTTATAAAAAACGAAAACACAGCCCAATAGCTCTGATTCCCGCCCACTCTATTCTTAACCCAGAATTCCTTACCCATATGATAAAGAAGGTGAAAGGGCGGAAAGGGTAAAAGCTTACCTTCGCCTCTGACTTGCTCTGTTCTGAAAAAATCGCAGAGGTGGGGAGTTCTCGACCGTGGAGAGAAACAAAGAGACAGGGAAGTGTATCTTACAAAGCGAACGATATGAATATTCTCTTCTTATACTACCTCTTGTCCCTTCCTATTTATACAAGTCGATGCCATCGTACTGTTAGAACGGTCTGATGGTTTACCCGGCCCGACCCAACACAATTCAATCCGCAGCAAGGCAATCCTAAGAGCATCTCCAATGGTAAAATGTGCACGGTGCACACGTGGCATGAGAAATGACCACATAAATATTAGTAAATAATTTTTTTCTCTCCTTATTTGAATAATTTTATACAGTTTTGGTAAGTTTTTCTCCACAATGTCAAGGAGACCGTCTAGATGTTGACATTGTTGTTGACATTGCAGGGAAAAACTTACCAAAACTGTATAAAATCATTCAAATAAGGAGAGAAATAATTTATATGCTAATATTTATGTGGCTATCACTCATGCCACATGTGCACCGTACACATTATAGCATTGAAGATGCTCTAACTTTTTTGATTATTCATGCATATTTTTGAGGTTAAATGCACCGAATTTCCCGTGATATAGCAATACAGCGTATTAGCCTTTGGAATTAAAACAATCAATCAAATCTCCATGAATTATAATTATTCAATCCCTTTTGTGAATAGATTTGAAATCATATTTTTCATTCTTTTGCGTAGTAATATTATAATTAAATATGCACGTAAATTTGTTTAAATCTCTATATTATACAAAAATGTTAATCATTTTCCATTTATTTGACAATTAAATTTGTTCATAGAAAAGATTTTGCACATAATTAATAATAACACAAGAGAGATTGATGCATTTTCTTAATCACAAGGACTAATGTGCCGAATTTTTATATCACAATGGGATTTGATGCATTAAACCAGGGCTGGCCATAGGGCATGCTGCCTAGACATATGTCTAGGGCCTCCCATTTACAGGGGCCTCAAATTTTTTATGTAAGCCTATTAGTATTATAGGTATACATTTAATTAAATTGTATATTGATAATAAAATCTCCCAAAACTAAAAAGTAAAAACATTAAAATGCATGCGGATTAGCGCCTTGGGACTTCCTACTTCGAAATTTGACCCTTCCGTTCCTTCGCTGCACGCAATCGGCAATCGGTCTTCTCAATTCCGCCGCTTGAGGTCTTATGTCGTAAGGTCTAAGGTCTTCTAATTTTTATCTTTCTCTCTAACTTAAATTATTGATTTTATAATGTAGTGGATGGAGAAAGATCCTGTCCAGCCGGATGGACAGGATCCTCCGTCCGGCCGCCGCCGTTTGGGGCGGTTCCCGGTGGAGTTTTTTGATGAAATTTTTATGGAATGTTCCTCATCAAGTCTAGTTTATCCACAAAAAATTTCAGCTAAAATTTCGATCGGGAAGGCAGTCAAATAAGTTTTTGAAACATAACTGTGTTTTATATGTTTAAGTTGGAGCAGTTATCTTCAAAAAATTATTTGACTGCCTTCCCGATCGAATTTTTAGCTGAAATTTTTTGTGGATAAATTAGACTTGATGAGAAACATTCCATAAAAATTTCATCAAAAAACTCCACCGGGAACCGCCCCAAACGGCGGCGGCCGGACGGAAGATCCTGTCCCTCCGGCTGGACAGGATCATTCCTCTGTAAGTGGATTATACATTAGCTTTTTTACTCCGTAGTTTAGCTTTTTTCAGTTTTTCAATTATGGAGTACTATTTTTTTAATATATAGTTAGTCGGGTAGGGACTTAATTAGGGTAGTAGGTAGTGGGCCTAGGCTATTTATTCGCTATTCATTCTATTATAATAAATCAAATAATAATAACAATACCTCAATTTTTTCATTAAAAGTTTAAAACTTACTGTATATTTGTATATTTGTATTATTGAATATTGAAAGTTAGAAAAGTTTTATCTAGTTGAAAATGGTATGAAATTGTAGATTTGAAATGACAGGAAAACGAAAACATGAATCAGGATGTATAAAGAGAAAGAACAAATTAAGAAAGAACACGGGACACATGGTCATAAAATCGCTTGTCGGCTTTATGGTTTGGCTATTATATCGATTGAAAAATATGTTAGCTTCTCTTAGACCATTTGTAGTGGTTGAAGATTAGGAGTCAAAAGATTAAAAATGGAACTTTTAGACTCTTAATTGGATGTAGTGGTGGATTAAAAGTGGGAGTAAAAGTGGGAAGGGGAGTGGAGGAGTCTAAAAGTAGAAGGTTGGATTGACAGGGAAAAAGGAAGAAGAAGAAGAAGAAGAAGAAGTGGCTGCTTGGGTTGTTCATGTATTGTGCTGATGTCACGATGATGTCATTAAATCCCCAATTAATTTTAAACTCTTATAACTTTTTTATTTGTTCTCCAAATTTTTCACAAAATATATCAAAATTCATGAATTTTTATGATCTTTCATATGACACCAATATGTAATAATATAAAATGAATTTTGTTTTTGAAGTATTAACTGTTCAAGTTTTCTTGAACTCAAACAAATACGAAATACATTTTTTTAATTCATTGAGCTTTCACAAATACTAACTGAATATTCCATAATCAAATTTTATTTGAACTAAGTTCATTTTTTGTTAACCAAAAGCCGTTTAAAAAAATAGTGATTTTTCTTTTTTTTACTTTGAAATGTGTATTTTTTATTTCATTAGTATCCAGGGAAAAATTCAAAACGAAAATATTAATCATAATAATTTAATTAATATTTTACTAAATTGATATGTAAAAAATAAGCAGAGTGTACTTTATTGACGGTGCACGGATGCGGGGAAAACCGGTATTGACGGAGTCTAAACACTGTTTTTATATGGACGGAGTCCAAATTAAACAATTTGGACTCTTGACCACTACAAATGGTCTTAGTTGTAGTGACGTTCTTACGAATTTCGCTCTTCAAAAAACTAAAAGAATAGACTATTAGTTTATAACCATTTATTTTTGATCAATTTTGGATCTTTTACTTTCGAAAAATATTTTCTTTACTTTAATAGTATAAGATGCATTTCATATATAATTAATTCACTTCTATTTAATTTGATATTCTACTTTTTATGCTATATGACCGTCTAGGGCCTCAAAATTGCTCTAGACGGCCCTACATTAAACACCATATATTCAAAATGGGCAATACATTGAAACAATGTTTTCTAAATAGGCAATAAATTGAAACAATTATAATTAAAATAAAGATGTTAATTCATATTTAATTTGATTATACTACGTATCAGTAATTGGTAGTTTTTTGTGACTATTAGCGTATTTAATTTATATCATAACTAGTGTTGAATCGGTGCATTACCCCAATACCCCGAAGTCCCGGACAGTGTTTGTATATTTCTTTTATGTTTTCTCTTAAATGTTTTTATGTCTAGCTATTTGGAAATATGATACTCCTATCCCTTAAAACTTGACCAAGTATGACCAGTTTAATAAAGTAAAAATTATGTGGTTAGAGTTTTTGTACAATAGAAAGAATTATCTGGAACCACAAATTCTTTACTTATACGAGAAAGTGACAAAGTTAGTGGAACAACTAAAAAAAAAGTTGACAAAGTTTCAAAGAACGGGGAAAGTATTAAATACTCGTCTAGATTTATCATGCAATTTGTTGATTTTTTTAAACAGCTCTTTCGGACATTTAACGGGTTATATTGAAGTTGGTATAAGGTATTTGGGGACCTTTTATGAGGTTGACATTTTGGTTTCCTAGGGTAGAGGCGCAGAGCCACCGCTACGTAATTTTCGATTTCGATCTTTCTTGATTGAAGTTCGGTCAGTGTTTCCCTGGCGAGATCTCTCAAGTAGGGTTTTTACTTCGCCGCCCTGGTGCGGCGTTTCTTTCAATCGACGTAGCACTGCGCCAGATTACCGTGATTTGGACGTAGCTCGGGATGGATGATCGTGGCAGCGAGAAGATGGTGGAAGAAGCGAGAGAGACGTAGGGATGATCGGGACATGGTTAGCGTGGAGAGGCTGAACACTCCATTCGATGGCATGAATTTGGGTCATACGGCGGGTATGCCACTGAAAGAGGGTATCAATCGAGCGACGGTCCGACCTCCGCCTGAACCACCACCATGGGTTGTACGAGGTGCTAGAGTCCGTGAAAGTTTTCCTAGTAATTTTTATTTGTTCGTCATTTGTTTTCTTGTGTTCATCTTTGTTGTTGGTTTTGACAATTTGTTTGAGTTTTTAGCCTCTCTTTATGTCATTGGCTATGGTTGGATATATGGGAAGTTGGGAACAAGTTTGGCTGTGTCAAGCCCACTACATGGTTAGCGATTCGTGTTGTTTTTTCAGGGGTGACCGTCTCAAAGTCTCACCATAGGGTTACAGTCGTAGTTGTTGGAGTTTCAGTTGATGTCAGTTTTATTTTCCCTTTGCTTGATGTAATGATCCTGAATCTTTTTATATGAATTTTTTTTAAAGGAATCTTTTGATATGAATAGAGGCCTGTTTTGATGATTAAAAAATCTACATAAGCCTTAAAGCTTATTTGGTTTCAAATATGGAATTTTGGACTGTATTTTATATCAAGTAAAGCTAAAATAAGACTATTATTGTATTTAGTTTATATCATAATGGTCACTGTGTTGTACTCCTAGTATTCAAATTCATAATCATATTCATTTAACAATTATATTGAATCCTATTTTATATTCGTATTCACTTCGTTTGTTATATTTAAATTTATATGAATCTTATTCAAATCAGAAAAGAATTAAAAGTCAAATTTAACAAAGTAAAGTTACAATGTATAGTTTTATCCTTTTGTCCCTTTTTCACAGAACATACTCCGTATCTGATACAAAATAAAATGTACTTACAAGTCACTTCTCCAAAATTATCATCGATATAATATGTCAGCGGGTAATTATAACGCTCAGATAATGCACATAGCTTGAAAACATGTGACTAAGCCAAAACATTCAAAATAAAAATGAAAAATACCATGAGTTTCAATATACATTAATAGTATGGTATTAATATTTAATGTTATATTATAGTTATTTATACGAAGAATTATACGATGTATATTGTATGAATATGTGTCATGTGTGTATATTATTATATAATTCGAACAAGTTCTATTGTCACTTAGTAGAGATCGTAAATGGCTGCACCCGATGATAGCATCCCGATCTAGCAATGATCCCAT